TTATCACTTCTCTTTACATTTAGCCTCACAGAGTAAACAGGCCCCATCTGGCCCTGCCACGCTTCGTGCTGGCTGCTCTAAGCCCCGTGGTAATGAATAAAACCAGACCCGATGGTCCTCACCCCAGCCTCTTCATCCTCTCTTTCCCTGGAGCAGTAACTTGTCCCCAGATTCAGCGTGGCAACACCAACAGGTCCCCAGCCCTTTCCCCACCCCCAGCACGATTTCCAGGGCCTTCACAGCCCCCTCTTCTGCCTCCTCCCCACCCACAGCCTGCAGGAGCTGGTTTAACCAGCAACATCCCYGATATGAAAGGGCCACAGCAGGCTGGGGGCAGCTAAAAACCGTCTGTGAAGGCAAGAAGGAGCTGACTCTTCCCTGGGTCAGRATAAATCAATGTTTCTCTTCTCGCCTGTGGGCAGGCTGAGATTTCCAGCAAGGCTGCTGCAGGGGTCAGGTGCCTGAACCCAGTGGGCTCTCCTTTGCTGCCTGGGGAGTTGTTAGAGTTCCACCTGCTGCAGGAGCCGCCCGCACCGGGGTTCTGGGGGAAGGAAGAGGCCAAACCTGACAAAGATAAACCCAGCGGAAATTTCCGCTGGTGGCAGATACATGGGCAAGTTCAAGAGAAAGGATGGAAGGAGAGGAGCCCGAGCTTCAGCGGGAGTGCCTGGAGTGAGGAGGCATTGCTGCCCCTCCTGCTCACCCCCATTACCCCCTGCTTCCCTCACCTCCCCTCCCGTGGGGCACAAAGGCAGGGGAGCAGGATCCACCCAACTCCCAGAGCATGGAGAAGGCACCAGGAGGTGACAGTGCTGCTGCCCACCCATGGGACACACCGCTCTGCAGAGCCCAAAGAGGAGCGAAGCRGAAAGGAATTGCTGGATGGGGCCAAGGACTGTCTCCAGCCTGCRGTGCCTCCTGCTTTGTCTGCTGGGGAGTGGGAACAGAGAGCGGAGTCCACAGCACACGCGTGTGCAAGCTGGCACTCACACCCTGACTCCAACACCGCACCCGGGACCACCACCACCTCCAGGAGCTGCGCTGCTGCCCTCGCCTCCCCAGAGCCATGAAAACCCTGGAAAACCCCAGCCCAGGGCCAGGGAACAGGAGTCACTCGCCCTCACGCACCCTAACACAGGTACCCCCCAAAAGAAAAGCCTCATCCCCATGGATTTTTCCTGCAAGGGCAAATCCTGTCAGGGCAGCCCCACAGAAGGGTCCCAGTGTCCCCCACCACGGCACGGCTGTGTCGCTGGTAGCCTGGAGCATGTTCCCCGCAGTTACTGGAGCCAGCCCTGTCCGGCCCCTGCCGGATGGTGATTTCAGCACTTTTGTGGCCCTGCTGTCTCATCTCCACCTGTCACCCCTCCTATGACCCGGAGCTGCCCTGCCGCCCGGATGCGCGACCCTGGGACACAGAGCAATTGCGGGACACCCTCAGGGTCCCACCGTGGTCCCTTCCCTGCCTGCCCCTGGCCCTTACCTGGAGGAGGAAGATGAGGATGACACAGAGGCTGCAGGCTCCTCTCAGCACYCGCTGGGTCCCTGCCTTCTGCAGAGCCCTCTTCCCCGGGGATGGGTTTTCCTGTCCCTCGGTCTGAGCGGCTGCGGATCCCGGGGGATGAGCGGTCCCTCCCCGCCTCTCCCTGCTGCAGGCTCCCTCTCTGGCACTGGCTCCTTCACCGCCCTCGCTCCATCCCTCACTCCCAGTGCCAGCAGCAGAGCTGCTCCAAGCCCAGCCTCATTAAAGAGACACACTCCCTAGAACCGACACCCCGGGGGGGTGGGGGGATGCTCTCCCGGGGAACACTGGGGGTCTCAGGGGACAGCCAACACCCCCAGAGAGGGACAGGCGCCAGTCAAGAGCAGAGTCCATGGCTGTGGGCTGCTCTGGACCCACGGGATAGCAATGTCCAGGCAAAGGTGGGTGGGGGTAAGACCCCTCGTGATGCTGCAGCAGCAAAAACCATGGGGTTTGTCTGACTGGGACATGTGAGCATCTTCTGTGTGCCCCTCAAACAAATCATGAGGCAAAATTGYCCCCATCAGCCAGCTGAACTCGGCAGCACAAATACTGTGGGCCACAAATGTCACAACCAGCTTCACTGGGAAAGGTCTCAGCTGCCCTGAGACCACCACAAAAGGACTGGGCACAGGGAGATGCTGAACATTCACCCCAAACCCAGGTGCCCTGGGGTTCTGCTGGGCTGYTCTCATCAGCCTCCATGTGCTGCAGTGAAATCACAGCTCTGAGGAGCAGGGAAGAGGGGGGATTTGAGGACAGCCCATATTTTGGGTAACAACTGTGACAACAAAGCCCCCTGGGGAAGGTGCAGGGAGTCAGGAAATCCCAGCAAAGTCAGGACATGTCTCCTGGCAGGGAGATCTCACAGCCCGGGGCGCACTGGGAATCCCTCAGCCACTGACAGCCCCACGTTCCCAAGCAGGACCAGAGAAATCCATCAGATTTGGGCTAATCCCTGCCCTGCCTTTCCCAGCAGCTCCCTGTGCTATAGATAGGCCTGTGCTGCTGCAGCTCTTTTTATAGAGCACACAGAGAGAGAGAGGAGTCCCCCCCACCTCCTCCTGCACCACAGAACCCACCGTCACAGCCACGCCGAACCTGGAGCCAGTCCAGGCACAAACTGGGGCAGAAAAAATCCAACAGCACCACGAGGGGAGCAGTCCCCAGTCCTCAGCAGGTATTTTTAGATCTCACCTCTGAGCTGACCCGTATGCYACTACAGCTTCAGCTCTTTGACACCAGTGTCACAGGGCACAGCAGGAGCAGCAGAGGGCAACCTTGGTGGAAGATGTCYTTTGCTGCACATGGTCACACGAGACAAACTACCCCTTCCTGAGCCCTCAGCCTGAGCTTTAGTCAACAATTATCTGGCCAAAAGGCACTCTGTGCATCCCTAGGGCCCTTGCTAGAGCACTCTGAGCTATTCCCTCCCCCATGCGAGATGCCCCATGGCACTCACTCCCCCTCCCTGTGCAGAGAGGAGAGCTGAAGTGTGCAGCTGCTCCCCTTCCCTCTCCTTCACGACCACAGGAGAAGGATGCTAATCCATGTGTTATCCCCGTGTGACAGCCACCAGCACACACCACGACACATCCACACAGCCTGCGACACGCACGGGACTCCCGCTCCCATCGTCACAGCCAGCGCCGCAGCCACTCCAGCCCCAGAAAAAAAAAAAATCAAACCACCAGCTTTGATTTTTCTCTGAGATATCATTTCTAGGCCAAGCTGAGGCGAAGAAAAGCATCCAAATGCRAGCGCTGGTTCAGTGCCACCAGCCGGGCTGATGGAGCTTGGCCAGCCCACAGCGTCAGACGTCGGCCCCGGTGTGACAGCAGGTGAATAACAGCGGCATGTGCAGCGCTGGGGACACGGCTGAGTGTCCCCCACCATGCTGGCAGACAGAAGGGTTCCATCCCAATCTGCTCCCAGCAGCATCAGGTGTTTGTGTCCCTGCTTTGCACTGTCACAGCTTCCCTCCAGCAGCTCGTTGCAGATACAAAGTGACTTGGAGAGCTTGGCATGGCTTTTCAGAGGAGTGCTGAGCTAAGGCGTGCATTGAACCCTGCGAACAGAGGCCCAGCTCAGCCCAATGGCTCCATTCAGCATCCTCACAGCCCAGTAACCCCTCACCAGCAGCTGCAGCACAACCCAAGGGACCAATCAGGATTCTGGGCATTTATCCCCAAATCAGCTGTACCTTGAGCTGAGTTATCACCCATTGACAGGGCTGGCTGGAGGGGACAMAGACCACAGAGCTTTTACAGATGCTCTCAGGTCCTGAGTTGCTGATAAGCCCTGTGACTTTAGTCTAAATTTAATTATCTGGGAAATGACCCAAATAGCCCAAGAAATGCCAGGCTGGCAGCAACTGTGCTCAGTGCAGCTGCAGCTCCTCAGACCCCACTGAAGATTGCACATGCAGAGGGTCTGCCTCCAGAGAGAGGGGCAGGGGCATCCTGTTTAGCTGCTCCTTAATAAGCAGGAATTAAACCAAACCCTGAGGATGGGCAGCCACGGAGAAGGATGGGAATGCCAGTGGTGTTTCTGGTCAAAATCAAGCWCACTTTGGCTTAACCTGTGTAATACTGGTCTGCCCAGCTGCGGGGAGTTCCAGAGGGCCTAGAAGCCCTGGAAACAACACATCAGCASAGATAGAGATGGCTGGTGAAGACATCTGGGATCCTTGGGGAGAGGGGCTGGGAATGCTGCCAGCACTTCAGCCTGCCCGACTGAAATCTTCCCAGGATGCTGGCGAAGGCAGATGGGGCTGAAAGCTCCAGTAGGGCTGGTTCTGACACAGACCCAGGCCACACACTGGTGGCTGCTGGATTTGCTTTCACCAGCCGAAAATAAGGGGGACTCACAGCCGTGGGGCGGGCCAGTGGGGGATCTCGCAGCACCCACCCCGCCGGGGCTTGTTCGGTGGCGCCAGGCTCGCTGGAGAAAACGAAACTGCGTTTATTTGAGGAACCCGAAACTCCCGTGACGGTGACGCCTGCCTCTGCCTCCTCCGCTGGCCGAGCCCTCTGCGAGGTGGGGCTGTGCTGCGCTGTCCCTGAGCCGGGACGCTCCTCACACGGCAGCACAGCCGAACAGCGGCTGCGCCAGGGTGGGTATTGCCGCTCCAGCTTCTTGCTGTCCATCTCCCGAGGGTCTGCTCGCCGTGGGACGTGGCGATTCAGATCAGCTCGGGCCATCGGGGCTCGGCGGGGTCCCCTCAGGTCAGCCTGTCCCTTTACGATGGAGCCCGAGAGGCTCAGCYCTCTGCCCACGGGCGGGGATGGGGTACGCGGGGGCCGGGGCAGCGGAGTTCCTCCCCAGCCCGGGGTGGAATGTTTATCGGGGRTGCCGGGGGAGGCAGAGCGATGCCGGGAGGGAGCGGAGCGGGCATGCCCGCACAAATCCCGGCTGGAATGGCCGAGCCGCTGCTTCCCTCTAGCGGGGASCGGGGGCTCGGCCGAGGGCTGCGCCCATTCCCGCACCTCCCTCCCGCACCCGCGGCACGTGGGGAAGGCGGGACGCGCTTCCGGAGCGGCGGCGGCGGCGGAGCGGTGAGAGCGGCGGCACCGGGCGGGGCGGCTCCACACCGCAATCCCGGGGCGCGCCTGGGATCCCCGGGGTGGTGCTGGGGGCTCCCCCCGCTCTCCTGTTCGGCACCCCCGCTGGCCGAGCGGAGGGGCCCGCGGGAAACACTCCTGGTCCCCGGGTAAAAGCGGCTCCCGCGGGCAGCGCTGCCGCGTCCCGGCGGAGRTGGCTCCGGGGACCGCTGTGCCCCCGCCCTGTCCTCGGGGCGGCCCGGGATGGGCTGCGGGGAACGGGGATGAGAACAAGCGCCCCAGCTGGGCCAGCTGCCATTCCACYGTGAAACGTGGGCCGAGGGGAGGTGTGGGAGGAGCAGCTCTGGCAGGAACGCAGTGCCCTGGGGCAGGTGCAGGGAGGGCCAAGGGAAAGCAAATAAGTGTTTTGAAAATCTGCATTAAACTTTATTCCTGTCGACAGTGTAAGATCCTCTGACTCGTAGCAATGGGGAGACCCAGGAAGGAGTCTGCTGGTACATCATCCCCCCGACCAGCCACAACCGCCTCCAAATCTGCTCCCGCTGCGCCCCCGCCTTCCACCTCAGCCACCCGGGCCAAGGCCACAGCTGCAGGCACCCAGTCCCGAAGCACTCCGGCTACCAAGGCTACCACCCCCACTACCAAGGCTACCACCCCYACTACCAAGGCTACCACYCCCACGCAGGGCCGGGGGACAAAGGCAGACTCTGCTCAGCCAAGATCTGCAGCATCCCATGGAGCCCGAGGAGACGCTGGGAACAAGAGCAGAGCACCCACCAGGAGTTCTACAACCCAGAAGGCGGCGTCTGATGCCAAAGGAGCTGCTGGTCCTGCCAGAAGTGACCCACGACCACAGAAGAAGCAGCCTGGGGCTGACCTGAGCAAGGCCTGTGACCAATTCCTGCCCCCTGTRAAGAGCCAGGACATCCCAAGGGTGGAGAAGGAGACCCGGGGCCAGCGGGAAAACCCCAAGTGGTAYGAGTGGCGGGAGAACCGCATCACCGCCTCCGTGGCCCCCAAAATTGCCAACAGCAAGTTTGTCAACAACAAGACAGATGAGGTGCCCCAGTCCTACCTGAGAGAGGTGGTGGGCTCTGGCTCCAAGGTGCAGACCCCAGCCATGTCCTGGGGGATCCGCAATGAGAAGGTGGCCGTGGAGGCCTACAAGATKAAATCACAGAAGGGGGGCAAGCCTGTGCAAGTGGAGGATTGTGGCCTTTTCATTCACCCAGAGAAGACGTGGCTTGCTGCCAGCCCGGATGGGATCGTCAAGGAGGCAGCCACAGGGAAGGAGCTGGGGCTGCTGGAGGTGAAGTGTCCCTACAAGCACAGRAACAGGACCGTGCGCGAGGCCTGCAAGGACAAGGATTTCTGCCTGGAGCTGGACGGGGATTCGTATGCCCTGAAGAAGAATCATCCCTATTTTACCCAGGTCCAATGCCAGCTGGGAACCACAGGGTTCCAGCGGGCTGACTTCGTGGTGCACACCAACAAGGAGACGGCTGTGGTGCCYGTGGAGTTTGATGGGGAGTTCTGGGGGAAGACGGTGCCCAAGCTGGAGAAGTTTTACACAGAGGCGGTGATTCCCCACCTGGAGCAGAAGGCAATCAGCTCTGCCTGGGCCAAGGAGGAATAACCACTGCCTGCCTACCTCGACTGGATACTTCCTTGGCCGCATAATTCCAGCTTCGACCCCTAGCATAGAAGTTACACCCAAGTTATTTGCTGGACCGTTCAACTAGCATAGAAATTACACCCAAGTTAGTTGCTGGACCGTTAACTAGCATAGAAATTACACCCAAGTTATTTGCTGAACCGTTCAACTAGCATAGAAATTGCACCCAAGTTAGCTGCTGTTCCTGAACCGTTCACAACCTTGGGACTGAAAAGTTATACCAGCAGGACCCTGCTTGTAAGGGTCCCCACAAACAGTGCCTTTTTGCTGCCCCAGCCAGGTCAGCACTCAGCCCCCAGAGCCTTCTTGTCCTGTCACGCTCACTGTATCTCCCACCTGTCCTAACAGCATGCCTGATGGAAGCTGGCATACCTCAGGATCTGCAAGTGAAGCCAATGATATCTCTGTTCTGGAATTAGAAGCTTATTTTGTGGAGAAAACTGGAACCTTTGGCACCTTAACTGCTGTCAGGACTAACTTTTAACTGCACTCCAGAGTGGAGACAGAGACAAGGAAGGTTTGTCAGCCAACCAGTGATGTGCCTTAAGCATCAGAGCAAGGGCACATGGACCTGAGCCATCGGACCTGCTACTGTGGAATAACCCATCACATTCCCTGTGAGATGCCTGCAGGGTCTGAACGTGATTCCCACTGAAGAGGTTGTCCCCCAGGCCATGCACAGCCTGAGGACCTACCCATGGAGCATCCCTGTAACTGCAGTGGTGGTGGTCATTGCCAGATTAAATATAGATGCACTGGTCTGCTTGTTTCCTGTTGTTTTTGTAGTTTGGGATTTACCTGGGGGAGGAGCAGGGCTGAGAGGGGTCCCTACACCAGCTGCCCTCCCAGCCACGGCAGAAGGGAAGCAGGGGAGGACTTGGGTCCCCGAAGGACATGAAAACCAAGGTCACTGACCTATGCCAAAGCCACCGCTGTTATGGCAAAAGTATTTATTATACACATAAGACTCCAGTCACACTCCACAGGGCAAGGACCAGAATTCGCTATAATACAAATTAACTATAATACAAAGTAACTATAATACAAAGTAACTATAAAAACATAAAGCACTTTTGGGGCCCAGGCTTTCCACAGGAGGAGAGGCACAGGGACAAGCCTGGGGGTTGCTGTGTGACGGGGCTGTCCCACACCCTGCCCCCAGCTGTGGTCCCACAGTAACCAGATGTGCAAGTAGGAAAGAACCCAGTTAAGAATTATAGTCATGGGGACTGGCAGGTGGGGGCTGARTGTCACCAGGACGGGAGCGGGGCCTGCATCCCCCAGGGAAAGTGCAGAAGGCACATGGGCAGGGCTCTTTGGAGGGGCTTGAGGAGGAGGTGGGAGCCAGCAGTYAGTGCATGTGAGGCCCCAGGAGATCACAAACACTAACACACCACCCACAGGGATGCGCATCTGGACCACCCTCCTGTCCCCCACGCACTTCTGGGATAACCGAGCTCTGTGGCCAATATGACCCTGGGCAAGGACACGCAGGGCAGCTTTCAGGAGCCAGAAGTGAGCGGGGAACAGTCYGGCCCTGTGTCCCAGCCCCACCCCCCCACCAGTGCATTGATTGTCTAATCTTCAGGTTCAAGAGGGACCCCCAGCCCTCCTGCTCTGCAGGAGCTTCAGTCAACGAGGCGCTTGCGGGGCACTGTCCGAGCTCGGTTGGAGCGGCGAATCTCCTGCTTGGCGTCCCGGCACCGCTGGCAGATGAAAATGTCAGGCACGTTGGATTTGCGGATCTTGGCACAAGAGAGGTGGATCCAGGTAGCGCATTCGTTACATTCGATCATGGGCCTCCCTGCGAAGGGCTTCATGCAGAAGCAGGTGATCAGATCCCAGGCATCGTCATCTGCTCAGGGAGAGACAAACACTRGGTCAGACAGACACCACCTTACCAGCAGCAGGTTGTGTTCCACTGGTGTTAAATGGGACAGCSCCCAACTCACCTTCTGCTTTGGTGTTGGGAACTTCTGCAAATTCGACTGCTAAAGTTGCAAAAGAAAGAAAAAAGAGAAAAAAAATAAAGACCAGATGAGCAAGGCAGCCCTACACTCCACTTCAGACCTGTTTCAGATCTGCACCACTTGCTCTGGGAACAGAGCTGCCAAAAGGCAGGTGAGCTCCCCGCCCTCTGCTCTTCAGTCCCTCAGGTCCCAAAAATATTCCTCTTGCTGGGAGAGGCYTGGGCTATGAACAGGCCCTCCCTGTGGCCCAGCTGAGGAAGGGACAATGTTTGGCACTGACTGCAGCACCACGGGCCCCTCTGCACTCCCCCAGACACTTACCACTGAGCTGGGAGGTCTCTCGGCTCGTATCTTCCCCTGTGCTTTGGTCCAAGGTATTACAGGGACTAGGGCTTTTCCTCCCTGCAGGGAAGGGGTCGTGCTCTTTAAGCTGAGGATCATCTGCTGGTTTCTCGGTTCCCTGCRCYCCATACATCAAGTCCTTCTCCTCCRYCATCGGCTCCTCCAGGAGGGAGTTGGGCTGGGGATTTCCAGACGGGTTGAGAGAGGGCTCCAATAGTTCCTCTTTCACAGGTGACAGCTGTCCTGCCAGTGCAGCCAGCTGCTTCACCCCATCCTGCTCTGCCCCAAAGTCCTTCCAAGCACTCAGCGGTACCCTCTTCACCTCCTGCTCCAAAATGCGTTTCTTTGCTGGTGGTTTCTTCCGTTTAATTTGCTGGGGCCGGACGTTGTAGAAGGCAGTGGAAAAGGCAGGGCTGCTCATGAGCAGGCCATTGTCCACAACCCCTCTGGCCACAGCATTCCTGCTCTTCCTAYTGTCCATTGGGATGTGGCCATCGGAGGAGTGAGATGAGGTCGAGCTGTCGCTGTCCTGAGTGCTCCCCGTGCTGTTCTGGGGGCTCATGCTGCCTCCGTGGGTCCAGGGCACGTACTGGTGGCAAGRGGAGAAGATGAAGGATTAGCACAGGAGACCAGAGAACAGATATTCAGGGTAAGGAGAGAATGACTCTCCAGCAGTGTCTGCCCAAACTTCAGGGCCAGGCTAGATGGGCCCTGAGCAACCTGATCTAGTAGGTAGCACCCCTGCTAGGGAAACTGAAATTATTATTGATGATATTATTATATCATCTATYARATCACCTCAGAKGACCTCTAAGGTCCCTTCCAACCCAAACCACTCTATGGTTCTTTAACATCAGGATCTGGGTCTGCATGTGGCAGGGAGACCAGGAGAAGCAGTGTCTTGGTAGAAAAACACCACACAAGCCCACTCACCTCTTCAGGGTACGGGATGTAGCCTGCATAGGCCAGAACAAAAGTGCAGAACTGGTTGAAATCTTCCACAGTTCTCCGCCGTTTCTGAAGTGGCTGCAACAAACACCACGAATGGATTAAACTCCCGGGATAGCCCAACCAAGCCGATATCACAGSCGGCCCTGGCGGCAGCCCTGGACCACCCGGCAGTTTTACAAGCACGGAATATCGAGGTCACCCAAACATCCATCCTTCCCCTAAGTCTTCATCATCTGCCGAGGCAAATGCAGCCCTTCCCTTTAAACCCAGATCCCGGGCGGGGTGGCGGGGGGAGGGAGGGCCGGACACACGCGACGACACCGTGACGACATGCCGGGACACCCAGAGCCCAGCAGCCGCCGGCGGAGCCTGAATCAGAGGCTCGGGGCCCCGGTGCGGGGATGTCCGCCCACGGGCGGTGACTCCGGGCTGGGGGACGCTCCCGGGGCAGCGCCCGGCGCGCTCGGGGCTCGGTGCCGCGGGGGAAGCGGCAGGAGGGCCGGGCGGCGCCGGCAGCAGCGGGGCAGCCCCGCAGCCCGCGGCCGATGGGGGAGCAGGGCCCGATCGGGGAGCCGGGGCCGGGCCGCAGCGCTGCCCCCGCGGCCGGGGACGGGAGGGGATGTCGGGGCCGCCCCCCCGCGCCGCCCGTCCCCGCGCCGGGCACCTGATGGCTCCCAAGATGGCGCCGCGCTGCCGGTACTGCCCGGGCCGACCGGCCGGGGGGGACCCCGCCCCCCAAACCGACACCCCCGCGCCCGCGGCAACCGCGCCGGCCCGGGACCCCCCGCTCCCCCCGAACCGGCGCGCAGCACCCCCGCTCCCCTTCACACACACACCCGCACCCCGGCAGCCCCGCA